TATCTATCTATCTATCTATCTCACACCTAGGCCTATGCCTTTCTTGAACCTCTGGACCATTTTTGTAAAGCACGTCTCACTCTTCTATGGATAGAACACACTGAGAGAGAAGGAGTACTGTAGAAGACTGGGATAGCAACACTCCATGTCTCTGGAAATGATATTGCTGAATTGTTTATGAATGATAAGGGAGTTGTAATTATGATTGACGGGAGATCTAAAAGATATGTTTTTAAAGGTCCTGTTGAGATATTGCACTTTGTTTATGTGAATTTCTGGAGTCCCTGAGGGCCTGGGATAAAATAACAAAGTTCCATAAAGAATAAGAAAGAATCACTTCTCAGAAGTCAGACAACCTTTTATTTTTCAATTTAAAATATAGGTAGTTATTTCCCTTTAAATATAGGAAAGTACCAAAAAGAAAATTTTAGAACTGCACAATCCAACCACTCTGTTGATAATCTTTTGATTTAAAAAAAATAATTTTAATGAAAGTTTACATAGACTTAAGGTTTCCAGTCATTCATTGTTGCACTTTTCTCCTTGCCCACCCCTCCCCCCCAATTCACTCTTCTCCTTGAAAAGTAAAAGAAAAACTCTTTCATTGTTATGCAATCCCTTCCCACAAGTCCACTCCACTGTTCAGTCTTCATTCTGGACTCCTGTAAAGACTATAATACTCTATCATGTATCCATTTTAAACAGTTCTCTCTCTCATCTGTTTCAATGCAGTATACATCATCCCTCCCCTCCTTCTCTGTCTTCTCTCAACCTCGATGTCAGTCCTGTTTTACAATAGTGGCCCTATTCAATATTTGTCCTTTTGTGACTGAGCTATTTCACTAAGCATAATGTCCTCTAGGGTCATACATTGCATAATATTTCATGAGTTCCTTGTTTTTCAATGCTGCATAGTATTTCATTGTGTGACTACACCAGAGCTTCTCTATCCATTCATTTGTTGATGGGCACTTGGATTGTTTCCAGCTCTTTGCTATTGCGAACAAAACAGCAATAAACATGGGTGTGCATATATCTGATTGGGTGACAGTTAAGGTTTCTTTAGGGTAAATTCCTAGTAGTGGAATTGCTAGGTCAAATGGTATTTCTATTCTGATTTTTTTAATATAAAAGTAATATCAGTATGTAAAAGTAAAAGAACATGGTTAGAAAACTCAAGCAGTACAAAATATTTAAGGAAAAATGTTATCTTCTTCTTGTCCTCTTCTCTACCCTTAGAGATGAAAATTCTTAAAGTCTTTTATGAATCCTTTACAGAAAAACAACATGCATAGCAGAGCTAGTGTCTGCTAGTGTGTGTTATTTGAGAAGACTTGTATCATGTATATTCAAGTATAGCAGGAGACTGTTAGTCTATAGACTAACAGCTTTGGCTCCACCCTCTTCAACATATTTTTCCTGCATGAATGTAAATTAAAAAAGGATTTACTGAAACAGGCTTTGTAAAGAAGACTGGCTTCATAGCTAAAATTAATAAAGGCAGGATTTTGTTGTATTCATTGTTAGAGGAAGTGTTCAGAACAGGTAGCTTCCTTGGTGACAGTGAATGATTTTTTTGTAAAGGAGGAAGAAAGATGAGTAAACCAAAGGGAACAGAGCCAGAAAGAGATGAGATACAGAGCTTTAAAAATGGTCAAACTGCATTTTAATTCCTTTGAAATTAGTTCGTCCTTTCTCACATTATACTGACTTATTCTGTAGGACATTCAAAGGACATTCAGAGCTGCAAGTGGGATTTTGAAACCCAATTTTCCTCTTCTCTGATGGGAGTTAGTCTCCCTAGGTTAAGAAAGAGGGAGTTCTGGTGACCTAGTGGTAAATAGTTGTGCTGTAAAGTCAAAGGCTAGTGGTTCAAATTTACCAGATGCTCCAAGGGGGAAAGCTAAGCACTGTCCTCCCATGCCTGCTGTAGGGTCAATTATGAGTTGGCTTTGAGTCAAGGCTATATAACAAAAATAACAGGTCAAGAAAAAGAGACAGAGGTGAAAGAATGGGGGAGAAACTACCTCCAACTTAGCTTCATGGAGGAGGACTGGCTAACTACAATACAATTAAAATCTAAACTTCCTATACCCAATTCAGGCACAAATATTTTTTTTACTCACTCTGAAATTGTTTAGAATCACTGTGGCATTAACTTTCTGAAATATTCTACCTCCTTTGAACTGCTCACATCTCAGTTCTCTGAAAATTATGTTTGCATTACTCTATTTCATCTGCCTTCTTGACTTCTGAAAGAAATGGGATTTGGTTAATTGAACTGTGGTCTAGATTATTTAAATTGATGCTGGTAATGATTTGATTTTACTTGAATGTACAATCAACAACCATGGTACTGGCAGTCAAGAAATCAAACCATATTTTACATAGAGGAAATTTGCTGTCAAGGACTTCTACAAAATACTA